TTGAAACCTAAGTAAAATTCTTCAAAGGACACAAAAACTATTCAGACTGGAAATAGATTAATAATTATGGTTAGTCAACAAATGTTATATACTTTTGCAGTGGCATAGAGAACAAGAATGAAGAAGGCTGCTTTTTGAGTTCGCTCAGCTGCTGCATGGCCAGGGTCAGGTCAATCCTTCTGGAGAAAAGGGAAGTTATGCCTCCCTTCAGAGCTAGGGACTCTGTGCCCCAGGGAATCTCTTTCAGCCCATGGGTCAGTGTTGAAGGGATGTGAGAGATAAGGAGAACAACTGCAGCAACAGAGTCTGTTGTTTGGCAGCAAGAAGTGTCAGGAACAAAAATCTACTCCAGCTACACAGATGGAAGCATACAGAATTTAATTCTATCCCAAAAAAAAGCAAAAGAATTGCTTGAGAGCAAAATTAAAGAAAAGGACTCAGCCTGAAAGAAAATTGTGGACATGAAGGAAACATTTCTATTTTTTCTGTACTCATTTTCATTCTCTGGATGAAAAAGTTCACTATCCTGGCTTATATTCTAATAAAACACTGCCTGCATAGTTGAAAAGCCCTATTTTATCTGTGTAGTATATCATACAACATACATACAAAAATTCAAATACATATCTATGTACACACATCTGAAGAACTAATAAGAGCCCTTTTTCATGTTTTATACACTTTGACATCACTGGAGGTCCTAAAGCTGCAATTTTGTAAAAACTACTGATAAAAATCATGTAGAGTAACATCTTTGCTACAAGTGATGATGACTGAAAATACCATGTTAGATTGTCCCTTTTTGCCTACTACTACATGATTTTAAGCACTGGTGACAGGCATGGACTTAAAAAAAAAGCAAATGAGATTCACAAGGAGTTAAAACTTTTCCAGGTATGCCAGTAAAAAAATATTCTGACAATTCATGCAGTATTGGAAGTTAAAAAAACCCCACAAACTAGAACAACCAATATCTCAATACAGGAAAAATGAGTCTAAGGGCATTTTACTATCCCCAAATGCTTTTATCATTTTCCCACTACTGCACCAATTTAGTAATTTATAATGAAGAAGAAAAAACTTATGATAAAACACGACTTGCAACCATTTTAATATATCTACTGGCCGTCTAAAGAACCGGCACTGATCAGCTAACAGCCTTTGGAAGATGGCAACTGCATAAATCTTCTGGCACTAATTTCTGAAAATTTATCTAAGACTTGCAGAAAGTATCCTCTTTTAACACTTTCATCTTCTTTTAGTATTTAACATAAAATTGCAAATGTGTTTTTAGGCTTCCATAGTAATGGTTCAGCATGACAGTTGATTTGGACATATTTGTACCAGCTGCACGGTACAAAATCAGGATCTCTATGTCTGCCCTGCTGAGAAGGAGTAAATGGATCAAAACAAATGGGCTGAAGCATCGGCTTGGGGAGCTCATGGAGTTTGGCTGTTCCTGGCAACACCCAGTCAGAGGGTTTGTTATGGCTGCAGAGGTTATTCAACGCTGCTCCAGTACCGATAAAGAGCTAAGAGCTAAGACACACAGCTCCTGCAAGAAATCGCTTTTGTCTCACAGGATTAGAAGAATCTTAACAGTACAGAAAAGCCAGAACAAAAGTTTCTAAAATATCACAAATCTGTACTTAAAATGTTATAAAGACTTTACTCAGAGGCAAGCACACCAATGTTAGAATTGCACCTGCCTGCAAGTTGTGCCAACTAACAACCCCAGTAAGATTCTGGAATACATAAAATACTACATTTAGGTCTATGTCACTCTTTCTTCAAAACATGATTCTTAAACACATGCTCATACACCTCAGTGAAAAATGAAATATGAAGACGGAAATGCTGACTACGGAAATTAGTCAAAAATGTAGGAAGTACCTAGATACAATATACACTAATTATATATGTACGCATGTATACACATACATGAATAGATTTACATATACATTTAATTAAGGCAAAGTGTTTTAAGAAGTTGGTTTGCTGAGTATTTTTCAATGTCAATTTCCATTAATAAATGAGAATCCTTTAGAAAAATGGGGAACTTTTATTAAAATTACTACACATTCTGAGGAATTAATCACAAATTTGAGTGATTTTGTGAAAGGAGACCATGTTATGGGCCTAGGAACAGAAATTACTAAGTCAAGTAGTAGTTGGAAGCTGCTGAGGTCAACCATGTGGAAATTTAAAGAAATGTCTGTCTCACTTATACACCTCACTGATGCCAGACAGCAATGTGCAGCCTCAAGATCCTTCCTAGACCAAAGACTGTTAATTGAAGACCATCATATTTTGTTATTACAGACTTTGACTGCCAGCAAGAAGCTGGTACTTGCTCACACTTCCTTAGCAAGCCATTGTGGATTCAGTGCCCAGAGGAGTTGTGTATTCACATAAGTAGAGTTTTGGCTTCCAGTTCCTGCCCTCAGGGTTTCCTACTTCTGCTTTATATCCAATGGCTCTTGAAAGCATAAGCAAACTCCTACAGTAATCAGAACCAAATTTTAACTTCTTGTGACAACTCTCATTTCCCTGCTGAGCACCTACTGAAGGTCAACAAACATGTCCTTGCCTCCATCTCTCTCCAGTTCTCTGACTAATTGCATTAGCTTGCACATATTTTCACCAGAATACTATGTTAGATATAGTTAACCATCGTGATACCTAGGAGATCCCAAAGTTCTCTTGGGATATGTAATAACCATGAGATTGCATACATAGGATCTACAGATGTCCTGTTTTCTCATTATATTTAGAGCAAGACAGAAACACTCAGTTCATCTGAAGGGCATAGATCTGGGCACATACAGATCACCTTCAGGAATATTAGGAACTTTTCTAATAATTACATGAATAACCAGTCATCAGAAGCTGCTAAGTGAGCACAGAACAGGTGATGCAGATTTTATTCAGAAGTTTATCTAATTTCATTCTTGTTCCCTATGACCTTCTTCAGACCCAGCGGTAGCTGTAAATACCTAAGCCTCAATGCAGACAAATACTGCATCATTCGAGGTCACTAACTGATATAAGACAGAATCATTCTACTCCAAGTTAAGCATTTTATACACATTATCTATCAAGCCTTAAAAGAGTAGGTTCATACTTTTGCAACAAACTCATATATATATATTCTATAGCAATGATAATATTATGCCATTTCAAAACAAGATAACCGTACTGACTCATGAACATTAATGTTCCATTGCTTCTAAGTGTCTTTTTATATACTTTTAGAAATTGCCTACAGAATGTTCTTATGTGAATTTCACACTCTTTTCAGGCTTTGCAAAAACAGTTGTCAAGGAAACTAATTAGTTCCACAATCATAATTGCAATAATGATTCATATAAAGAAGACCTGATGTTAAATAGCTTAATAGACTTGTTACAACTACTTAGAGGTTACAGGAGAGCACTGAAAGGAAAAAGCCCCTAAATACCTATAAAACCATGTTCAGACAAAAATGTTCTATCTTCTGAAACTAAATTAACTAAACTGCTTTTTACTTGAATGTCTAGAGACTACCTACATTACTACTTATGGAGGCATATCATGTTTCTCTCAGTTGCAGCAGCTGTGGCAGTAAAATAGAATATTGAAATAATTATAACAGGTTAAAGTTAGATTGCATTGAAAAACAAGTAAGACTTGTGTTTCAAACATACAAAATTGAAACATTGATTATTTCCTCCATTTACCTAAACAATGTTTTATTTATTTATTTTTCTACTTGATAAATATTTTTATTTCCTTGGGACAATGTTTTCCTAAATTTCTTTTTCTCTTTTCTTTTTCGATCATGTGAAATTTTATTTCTGAATGATGGCAGTCACAATGCACTATCTGTTTAAAAACAAGTACACAGGGCCTATTGAGGCCCTGAATTTCAGTCAAGATGCAAATCAACTCTCACTATTGCAATTCAAGTGGATAAACCAAACATTTGTACTAGAATTGGATCTGAACCTATTAATGAATTACGAATGCCGGTTCCTTTCTATGAATGCAAGTAACAGTGCTTCCATTATTAACAAATTGCTGGGGAATATTAAAAAATGCTGCAGATATCTTGAGATAACTTCCCTGAAAATATACCTGAAGAAAACTTGCAGTAGAAAGAAAAAAACTTACTCAGTTATTTCAACCTTTTCTGATGACACAGTAGTCTATGACTCATTCAAATTCATTGCTACTTTATTAAGATGAATGCTAGTCAGATGCTCAGGTTAAAATGCAAGTATTGATATGGTTCATGTTTTGATTTAGTGTCCACTATATTTATTATTATATTTTCAAGTTTATTCTGAATGAAGTAATTTTGTATTCTTACATCAAAATTTAACTTTATGTTGGGAAGCATTAAAACTTCATAAATTACTGAACGTTACTATGCAGTTTTCCTTAAAAAAAACCCAGATCTTCCTATTCACACCCCTACAAATATGAACAATATTTCTATAGATTTCAGAGCTTGTAAATAGACATAATAGAAGGATTTATGCTCACCATGCAGGGTTACCACCAGTAAGATGGTATCTAACCAAGACTATTTGAAGTTTTTATCTCATTTGACACTAGAATAAACACCTTTACTACATGTGTATCTTGAAGTATATGTACAGATAGGACTGAAATCAAGAGTTCTAACAACTATGTTGCTTACAACAGACAAATAGGTGGGGTACAAGGCAATTTAAAAATGTGTAGCAGGTGTATCTTAAATACTAATTTCTTTTTAACTGTCATCATCTGGGTTGAAGATTCAATGTTTGTTCTGTAGTTACAAATTACTACTAAGAGAAAAGTAGGAAACAGGGTCCCATTTAAGGGTTTGGAATCAAGTCTTTGCTAATAAGACAGTATTGGGTCTCAGGCTTTGTTAGTTAAAGAAAACTTCTGTTACCTTATATTCAACTACACATTAGTGTAATAAAAGTAGCAAAAATTCATAGAGAGAAAACACTCTAATATGAACTTACCTGTAATAATGTTGGGCTTTGGTGGCATGCTGAATTCATACAATGTTGGTTCAGAATAACCCAATCTGTTCGCAGCTGTAATTTGTACTTCATAACCCATGGTCCACTGAAGATGCTCTAAGATGATGTGGTCTCTACTACCCTGCACTTTTTTCTCTAGCCACTGGTCTTCCTTATCTTTCTGTAAAGAAGCAAATATTAGTTTAAATTCTCAAAACCTCGTTTCTCTAAACTGTGCATCTACATGATGCACAAAAAATAAGAAGTTTTATTTACAGAGATTCAATTTATACTTTTTTCAAATTTATACTTTGCTCAAATATATTTTGCTTCACTGTGAGGGTGACAGAGCACTGGAACAGGCTGCCTAGAGAGGTTGTGGAGTCTCTGTCTCTGGAGACTTTCAAAACCTGCCTGGATGTGTTCCTGTGTGACCTGCCCTAGAGGATCCTGCTTTGGCAAGGGGGTTGAACTAGACAATCTTTTGAGGTCCCTTCCAACTCCTAACATTTTGTGATTCTGTGATTCAGTGAAATACTGATGTTTATCTTGGGGAACATAATGATAATTATTTACACACCTATGCAAAAAGAACAAATGAGGACTTCAGTTGCAATCTTCACCTTCATCTTTCATAAACTGGAATGTTTACCTTTGCAATTGCTTTTCTTAGTGCATAACGTATTTAATTATTGTATTGGGTTTGCCTGGCCAGATTTCAATGGGGGTGGGCTGTAGGGGTGGCTTCTGCAAGAAGCTGCCAGAAGTTTCCCCTGAATCTGATAGAGCTAATGACAGCCGGCTCCAAATAGGGACTTGCCGCTGGCCGAGGCCGAGCCTATCAGTAAAATGATAGTAGAGGAACGTCTCTGTGAAAACATATTTAAGAAATGGGGAAAAAAGTACTGCGCCACACAACAACTGGCAGAGAGACAGAGGAGTGAGGATATGTGAAGACACCAAGGTCAGTGAAGAAGGAGGGGGGAGGATGTACTCCAGGCGTCAGAGTAGAGAGCCTCCCCCGGGCTGTGGTAAAGACCATGGTGAAGCTCCTCCTGCAGCCCATGGAGGACCCCACACTGGAGTGGGTGGATGCCTGAAGGAGGCTGTGGCCCGTGGGAAGCCCGCATTGGGGCAGGTTGCTGCCGGAGCCTGTAGCCTGTGGAGAGAGAGAAGCCCACACTGGAGCAGGTTGGCTGGCAGGACTTTTGTGATGTCATGGGGGACTCACGCTGGAGGTTTCCCCCTGAAGGACTGCACCTCAGACTTACATTGGGGCAGATTGCTCCTCATGAGAGGACTCACATTGGGGCAGTTTGTGATGAATTACTCCTCATGAGAGGACTCATGTTGGAGAAAGTTGTGTGAAGATTGTCTCCCGTGAGAGGGACCCCACAATGGCCCTGGGGAAGAGTGAGGAGTCCTCCCCTGGAGGAAGAAGCAGCGGTGGAAATGACATCAGATGAACTGACTGTAACCTCCATTCCCTGTCCCCCTGCACTGTATATCCATACTGGGATTGATGTTTTGCCTGAGAAGAAGGGAGCTATGTGGGGAGGTGCTGCTGTCTTTTCTTTATTTTAAGATCTGTTTTTATCTCTCACTACTCTTCTCTGATTTGTTCTTTAATAAATTTAACTAATTTCCCCAAAATTGAGTCTGTTTTGTCCAGATGGTAGATACAGGTGATACCCCTGTCCTTATCTCAAACCATGAGCCGTTTGATATATTTTCTCCTCCTGTCTAGCAGAGAACAGGGGGTGACAGAATGGCTGTGTGGGCACCTGGCTGCCAGAGTCAAACCATTAAAATTATTCTTTACACAAATGAGAATTACAGAATAACTAATAAGTATAAAACAATATACACTGCCAAACACAAAAGACATCTTGTTCAAAGAAGTATCAATAACACACAGTAAGAAATCATGCAGTCCTGTTCTTACTGAACACTGAGGTACAATAAAGTGGCAAAAACTACAGCTAAGGGCCAGATCCTGGTCATCCAATACAAACAGCAAAACAGACACAGTATAAAAAGTATAAGCTTTCTGGAAAAAAACCCAACCCTTCAAATACAGGAAAGTGTAACTTTTTTGCTGCAGATTACTGTGCTTCTCAGAAGCTTATATTCAGGCTCTTTGCTGAAGCATCTTGCTCTTGACTGATGCAAGTGTCAAAGAAAATAGCATTCGAATTTGACAGTTCAGGGCTCAATCATGCCCCTTATGCCTGGTTATTTTTTGTCATGTCTTCAAAAAATCAAGTGACAGATTAAACTCCCTTATGTGCACTGCTGCAATAAGTTATTTGCTGTGCTGTGGTGGTCTTTCCATACTGACTTCACCTTTTATTAAACTGTTTCTTTCTTCTCCTGCCCTAGCATTGTTACTCACACAGATAGTTCTGGCAATGATTAAAATACCGTAAAACATCTTTTCAGGACCATTTGCAGCATGGTGAAAGTGCCTATTTGGTGCAGCAGAAAGATCCATGAAAAACATTGTAACAGTACTCATAGCAGAAGTCATGAAAACTCCTCAAAATCCTGCAGTAAAAATAGTTTACTCATCATAAAGTGAAACTGGTATTTTCTGTCAATGATATTTTCCCACATCCTCATGGATTGTTGCAATCACCTGATATGCTCCTTAGGAATCCACCTATATTTACATTCCATCGAGTGAATCCAATTATATTACCACTATATCAAACAACTTTTACAAAATATATTTTTCTATAGCACTGCTAAAATAAAAGGAACTAATATTGATTGTAATATGTATATGCAAATCCCTTCTAGTAATATTAGGAGTAGCAATGTTACGTAGTACCATACTTTAATGGCTGTTTAAATTGGTGAAGTCTGGGAGGAGTTAAAAAAAACCCCACAAAACAACAAACAAACAGAACCAAAACATCCAGATTCCAAAGAATCAACATGAGGGAAATGAGAAGATCCATACATGACCTTGGTGTGTGCACATACGACCATGTGAATATACTGAGGAATTCCAAAGAGGTTCAGAACTGGAAAATAAAGATTCAGGCTAATCTGGTTTCTGAAAGTGGAAAAGACAGCACTGCAAACAGATATATGACCGTATTTTGAAAACAAACTGTCGAATTAAATATGATTAATAGAATGAGCTTAAGATTGGAAGGAAAACTATAGAGATTTCTACAGAAGGCTGCTCTTCTGCAGATGTAAGTGAAAAGGCAGTTGTTCCACAGGTTGGTCAGGTGGAGTATAAGGGAAGAGCCAAAATCTAACAGGACTCCAGCATGCTATGCCAGAGAAGTGATACCCTAAGCTTAGTTGAAGTGAAGCCAACTGGATGGATTGATATAAATGAAATAAAGTCAAAGCCTTGAGCTCAAAGACAACAAAACCTTTTACAAAGACTGACAAACATAAGTTAGGAGAAAAAAGAATAAAGAAAATATCTGGAAAGCAAGCTGTCTTCTCTTAAGGATAAACAGATGAAGTCTCCAAGAATACAGTCTGGATTTGGCAACTTGAAAAAAAGTAAAAGAACTGCAAGTGTACTTCAGTGTAGCTGTTATTTAACATGTTTTCAAGAACTGTTTACTCAGTAGAGCTCAGTAACGTGTCCAGATTTATTTTACTATTAGTGTAGAAATGGTAAGAGAGGGATGAGAAAACAGAAGTAGAGTCTGTCAGTTAAATCTTCCTACAAATCTCCCTGTTTATGCTCAGACCCTTTAATTGGTAGCTTAAAGAGCAAAAACCAGACCCACAAAAGAACACTTCATACCTTACTAGGCTGTTCTATTATTAATAATGCCTAAAATTTATAGAAAGCTCTACATAGGCACAGTGTTCTGCAAGAAATGAAACTTCTAAATCAGAAACTACAATCTAGTTTGAGAGCTGAGTTAATATGTTTTCAATAATCATTTATTATTAGCAGTTGCATCATTAATGTCTACCAACAAATGTACATTTTCAGAAAGCACAATCAGATCTGTAACCTCAGATATTAAACTTTTTCTTTATCTGCATTTCATTTTGTTTCATGTAACGCAGAAATACTCCTTTACAGAAGGTCACAGCTGCTGTGAGACTAACCAATGACTGGCATTCTCTAAGAAAATTACTGCCGACTTCCATTACTCTTAAGCCTTAGATTCACACTGTCCTCTTCCCAGCATAAGGCTTTGGTTGAAACAATCCTGACATGATGCCACAGACTAATGACATTACATATATACATATATAAAATTATTTCTTGATTGTGTGTGTTGGCTTTAAATATAAGCATCAACCAAATATATCTCAGAAGTGTCTGAGAGCTGGATTTGTAACACACCTGTGAGCAACTTAAACACCTAAATACCAACCCCCCCCCCCCAAAAAAAAAATAAAAAATAAAACAAAGCACTGAAAACTCCAGTCTACCATGACTTGGCTGCTTCTCAAAATTAAGGGTGCATCTGACAATCGTGAAAGTAAAGCTAACCCACCGTTTAGGCACCTAAGTATTTTCTAGTCTAGAAAACAACATCTTTCTCTTTAACGGGCATTTTACATTGTACCCAAGATCACTTTCTCTGGGAACTCATAAAAAGTGAGGAAAAGTGATTAACTCCCTTCAACCCTTTCCTGTATTCTCCTTTCTCCCTAAATTGTGGTGCTAAAAGTTCACCTCAGACCAATTCGTTATTATGGTGGTCCCTGTGATAAGAGAAGGGCAAGAGATGCTACAATATCTTGAAAGCTAGTAGGAAGAAAAATATCAAGAAACCCTCATGGAAAACAATCTGATAGTTTAGAGCAGTGACTTCACAAAAATTCATTACACTGGGATGGTGCTTTGTAGGTCTGAGTAAACATGAAATACTGAGCAAAGCACAAACAAGCTGATAGCATACATACTGTTAAAATGCACCAAAGCCCAAGGATCTGGCAAGTAAAGGGGAACTTGACATGCAAAAATATTTGGCTGTTAAATGGTAACATAGTGAACAAGTTTTAAGCCTCAAAAACTAATTGCTCCTCTAATGTTTCCTCCAAACGTCATTACGGCTGTAAAGGTAAAAACATAAAATAAAATTAAATACTGTTGCTGTTTTTCAAAATAGGATATTATTAAATTTTTTTTTGCTATCACCTAAAATGTTAATAACCCTCAAAGACAGATTTTTTATTGGATTATTATTTTATTCTAATTCAAAGTTTTTATGGAAAATTGGCCTCCCAGCGAAAAACAAAATCAATCCTACTGCCCTTTTTTTTGTTTTCCTAGTTTACTATTGACATTGTGTGACTCAAAACTATAGATACAAAACTACCTTTTCCAATCACTAAGAAACCAATTTCAATAATTTTTCTTTAAACATTCAAGAGAGACAGGGATCTACTGGACAGAGTCCAACAGAGAGCTACGAGGATAATCATGGGACTTGAACATCTCTCCTATGGAGAGAGACTGAGAGAACTGGAGCTGTTTAGCCTTGAAAAGAGAAGGCTGAGAGGGGATCTTATTAATGTATATAAATACCTGAGGAGTGGGTCTCAGGAGGAAGGTGCCAGTCTCCTTAAAGTGGTGACCAGTAACAGGACAAGGAATAATGGGTGTAAGCTAGAACACAGGAAGTTCCACCTCAACATGAAATTTCTTTACCGTGAGGGTGACAGAGCCCTGGCACAGGCTGCCCAGAGAGGTTGTGGAGTCTCCTGCATACGTTCCTGTGTGGTTGCCCTAGAGGATCTTGTGCTGGCAGGGGGGTTGGACTAGATGATCTCTAGAGGTCCCTTCCAACCCCTGACATTCTATGATTCTATGATTCTTGATTAGGCAGAGAATGGGTGTGGAACAAGAAACAAAAGTGGCAGAGTTTGCAGTAATCTTACTGCTCCTTCTTCGAAGCAGTAATAATCTCATTGGCTCATCATGTTATCAAACTCATTAATTTCAATTCCAAAATAAACTTTGTGACCTTTCCCCTGGATGTGTTCCTGTGTGGCCTGCCCTAAGTGATCCTCCTCTGGCAGGGGGCTGGACTAGATGATCTCTAGAAGTCCCTTCCAAAATCTAACGTTCTATGATTATGAAGTAATTTAGGATATGGTATCAAAGCCATAAATGAAGGCTGGGAGCAAATCTCTGCAAGATAACAGTGTGATGTGTATTTGCAGAGAACAGTGGGCCAACATTATGAGCACAAATTCACAATTGCAACGTGGGCAGCTATAGAATATCCATCAGAGTCAAAACGCACTTGAGCAATAAGCACAAACTTCTGCTTGTGACTATGTGAGTCAAGCGTGATTACTCCTGTACAGGGACCACACATTGTCTGCAGGATGCTGTTTCTGCTGCTAAGCTTAAGCTAAGTAACACCTGCCAAAGTCCACTTTGTAGCCTGTCTTTCTCTCGCTGGTCTGTGCCTGGTCACCCACCAGCCCTGAGCTGCTGTGGTAGTCTCTCTCCTGTATCCCAGACACTCCTTCCTCCCTGCCCTCTTTATCTCCTCACCTTTCCCTCAGTCTGTACAGTCTCCTCAACCCTCTCCTCCAACTTATAATTTATTATGATAGTTCTTGATAAATAACAAAACAGATATTAGCCATTTACAAATTCAGTACACATTTCCCCATTAATTTATATGCATAAAGCTTAACATCCATTGTGTGACACCGGCACCTCATCATGTGTGCCCCAACCAACTTTAACAATATGATAAGCAGAAAGAGCCAAAGGGAAGCTTGAACTGGTCTCCATTAAAATTACACAGTTGCTATGACAAATACGGTCAGGTGGCCACTTTCCACATCGGACAGGATGCTGGTCTAGGGAATCTCCATCAGGTCTAGGGAAACTCTTCCCAGCTGGCTACCAGAGAACAGTTTTCCCTTGTCTTTCTCCTCCTGTTCTTTTCTAAAGTAACTCTGAAGTCAATGTACACCATCATCTTCAGACTACACCAGTGAAGATTTGTAAGACTGTCTTGATTTTCTTTGTGCAACAGCATAAATCAGTTTGAGGCTACTGCTCATACAGATTGCATAGTACCTACTCTGGGATACAGAACAAAACATGAAGATTCTTAATATCTGACTATAATTAGTAAGACCTGCTCATAATAAGAATAAACTAAAGGTAGGAAAGAAATACTTGACAGAACGAAATATGTGATTTCCAGAAAAAATAAAACTTACCAATTTCCCTAAATGAGGATATAATACTGCTCTCGTATCTTAAAGGTTGTCCTCCAAGCTTAAAAAACAAAACCAAACCAAAACCACAAAAAACTGTAGAAAACTTAAATATGAGGGAACTGACTCTTCGTAAGACATAAGCTATTACGAAAGACAGGGAAGAAAAAGCTGCTGATACATAGCCTGTTATCTAATATGCTTTTTAAACATGCAAGCAAACATATTAGTCCAGGTGCTAGTAATGAGACTGGCAAGAGTTATAGGAATGCTAATTAAATACAACCAATGGGGATGATAGAAGAGAAGCAGTCAACAGATAATTAGGAACTTTAAAGAGCATCCATTCATTCTGATTAAAACACTGAAAAATTATTGTGCTTTTTTGTTGTAGGAAGGCCTTTAATTTAATCAAATCACTTTTTCAATTGGAAGCTTAAGGAGATATGGATTTGAGGTCTAAGTAAAAGCTGTCTTCTTCAGTAACATATTAAGTTTCCAGTTACTCCTTAAACTGTACATTAATCTTTCTACAATACCTGTGAAAACTAATCTTTTATACTACAATACTGTACCTTAGTCAAAACACTAGATCAAAATCAGTTTTCCACAGACCCCAAATCATTTAGCTTACTAAATCACACAGATTAGATTTCATATACTGCATGCATATATTATAGTCAAACTTCTTAACTTCTGAATTACAAATGATCAGAGGCATTGTAATCTAATGAGGAAGCTCAATCTCACAAAACGATGTTGTATCTTGTATTACATATTATATTGTATTTACTCCCCTCTCTCTTCTTTACAATTATTTTTCTTTTATGCCAACTGCACTCGCTGGACCAAAAGTCATTTAAGCAGGTCAATTAAAATTTAGGGATGAGTGATATCAGAATAACTGCTTGTTACTCTTAACCTCAGGCTACTCTTAAAAGCTCTACCAGATTTTTCTCAGCTGACTTGGAGCTACCAATCTTTGTTTATATTTAGTTTAGGAAACTAATTTTATATGTCAGGTTAAGTTCTTGGATAATCATAGAACTATCATCAAAAAGAAAGACAAGTAAACCTGCTGTTACACTCTGGTAAAATATCTTTTTACTGGATCTAGTCAGATGAAAGTAGTATAATCTTCCTAAAAGAAGTTATTAGAAAATGCACATTTATGAATTAAATTCATTGCTACTGCAAGCTCTATAGTTATATCTTCAACCTAATCATCTATAAACATAGCGTATGAGGAAAGCAAGGATATTTTAACTGCCTTAATAAAAAAAATCTTCTTCTATTTCACAGAAAAAGAAATTACACATTGCAGAAGAGCTTGGTTTCTAAGCTTGTCAGATTTGATAAGGGAACACCAAATTAGACTCTAGCTGACAGAAGGACAATAAATTCTGCATGATGGCTGTTAAAGAACTGATGTGCACAGTGAAACTCATGGAAGTCCTAACAATTTGTCAGTAATTTGGCTTTTTTTAAGCTGAGTCTTGAAATACAGAAAGATAGAAAATATGAAATGTATTTAGATAATTAATCTCATTTAAAATTAACATAGAGCACTGGAATATAGCTTTCTATCTCTAGAATAACTATTTATCAACATTATTTATCAACTATTTATCAACAGATACTTTTATACCATGTTAATAATTAGATGTGCAAACAACCTTTAATTATGTAATTTTAATGTGTACTAATTTACTGCACTTTTGAGAACTGAACACTAGTATTCCTAATTTACCATGTAATAAAACAGAGAATATAGTTTTCTTGCTAGATTGAACTTTCAGTTATACCTTTTGGGAGAGAGGAGAGGAGAGGAGAGGAGAGGAGAGGAAAGGAAAGGAAAGGAAAGGAAAGGAAAGGAAAGGAAAGGAAAGGAAAGGAAAGGAAAGGAAAGGAAAGGAAAGGAAAGGAAAGGAAACACTGGTATTCCTAATTTACCATGTAATAAAACAGAGAATATAGTTTTCTTGCTAGATTGAACTTTCAGTTATACCTTTTGGGAGAGAGGAGAGGAGAGGAGAGGAGAGGAGAGGAGAGTGCTTTTTATTTCATTTTATTTTTTTTATTTTATAATCTGCCATTAGCAAGCTAGTCACAAAAGAAAATCTACTCTACTATGTCTTCTTTTTGTAGTATGCAAACCATTTAGTTAGATTTCAAGTCATATCAACAGTCTTTGTGTTAAAAGCAGATATTACTAAGCCAAAAACCCACCTATTTTAGTTAACTCAAATACTTACACTTCTGTATCTGACAATATATTCCAAAATGGGGGCACCTCCATCATCTTGTTTAGTTATGCTAAGTTTAAAACTCTTGCCACTTCCTGGTTGTCCATGAATGGAAGGAGGGCTTGGCTCCCCTAAAGAAGTGAAAAAACAGTAGATAAAAATAATGAAGCAATAAGTCTTAAATTACAGTTGGGAACTTGACCACAATATTATTAATCAAAATCTTTAAAATCAACATGATCCTTCCAAGTACTGCAGAACATACTTAATAAGTGTGTTAACTATTTTGCATAAGGTATGTTCTAATGGAGATTAAGTATTTTACACAAGGAAGCAAATTTATATGAAGTATGAAAGAAATATTAATTTCTTTGAGACATTCCAACTTCCAACACTTTCCAATGTCGTTTCCTTCAGAAATTATTTAGCCATGAATTCAGCCATGCTGGTAAGCTGCTGCCCACACTGAAGGTCAGAGCAATACTATCTTACAGGAAAGCTTCCTTAACATTAAGCATGAGCTTTAGTCCCATGTGTGACATCCAAAATGTAATATAGTTATTAGGTAAATTTACTCTGTGACATACATGTCAAGGCAAAACTAGATACTTTTAAAGTAGTCTACAATAAGAGTAAACATAAAGAATAAGATTTCCAAAACAAAACCAATTTTCCCTGTAATGAAAGGATAAATATAAAGTTAAATGTAAAATTAAAGGGTTAATAGCCAGCTTAAGACACTTTGCTAATCGAAATTCACAGACTAATTATTGACGTGCAATGTCTATTTTAAAGTTTTAAATGGATCTTAAATGTATGTGTTGTCATATTGAAATGTCTCATCTTCAAAATATCTGTAAATTTGCATTCACCAGATGTTACAGTTAATTTAAAAATATTTGCAATATTTGTGTTTATCCAAGTAAAGATAAATTGACTTAGATCTCAACATAGAATTTTCCTAGCTTTCTGTAAGATATCTATAATTTTTCTCAGTTTCTATCATTTTTCTATCAGGTATAGTGATCCATATGAATAATACCAAATTATTTTATCTGTTGTTCAATATATTTAGAACATGCATATGCTTTAATCCAAAAAAGAAATTTGAAAGCTGCCAAGTTACTGGTTTTTGACAGAAGAAACATATCAATAAAAGCACAACATAATAACATGGAAATATTTTGTGGGTTTTGTAATTGTTTGACTTTATTGTTCATTCCAATAGAGCCAGTATTCTTAACTATACCTGGTAGTACCCTATCTGGAAACAGTTCAGTTAAAATAGATTTATGAGACACTAGTCTAGTAATGGTTACTGATGTATTTTGATATATTTATTCAGGTAGTGTATGGTACCATTTTGTAGTTTCTTTATTTTTCCTCTCCTTTTGTGTTTAATTTATTTATTATTACCCCTATTTAAAAATAATTTGAACAAAATATTCTTACTTAGCCCTTAATACTTAAATCTGAATTTCTTGCCCATAAGGTTTAGAAATACAGAATTGGGTTTGTAGCTTTTAGCCTTTGCACGTAAGCATAGTTAAAACAATTTATTATCATTTTTCAGTAGCTTAAGATTTCTGTTTGAGGCTTGATAATTGGCCCCTGAAAGGGCCATTTCATTTCTTATAGATGTTTATATTACCCGGAGCGTAAAAAAGAAAAAGTCCTTAATCTAACATCTTTCAGGGTTTGTGCTCTTGAATATAAAGCAAAGATTTGTCTAAGTCTCAAAAATACAGATAATTAAATAAATTATCCATACAAGTCCATGGGCCCAGATAGGATTCATCCTAGGGTGCTGAGAGAGCTGGCAGAAGAACTGGCTAAGCTGCTCTCTATCATTTATCATCAATCCTGGCTAACTGGGGAGGTCCCAGATGACTGGAGGTTGGCCAACGTGATGCCCATCCATAAGACGGGCCAGAAGGAGAATCCGGTGAACTATAGGCCTATACTCTCTACAGCTGCCTGGAGGGAAGTTGTATTCAGGTGGGGGTCGAGCTCTTCGGTCGGGCAACTACTGAGAGGACAAAGAGGACACGGCCTGAAGCTGTGTCAGAGGAGGTTTAGGTTGGATCTCAGGAAGCCCTTCCTCACGGAGAGGGTGCTCAGGCACTGGGATGCACTGCCCAGGGAAGTGGTGGAGTCACCGTCCCTGGAGGTGTTTAAGAAGAGGCTGGATGTGGCTCTTAGTGCTGAGGTCTGGCCCATGTGGTGGTGTTGGGTCATAGGCTGGATTTGATGACCTCAGAGGGCTTTTCCAGCCTCAACAATTCTGTGATTCTGTGGAGGGTGGGAGGGATAGGAGGAATAAAACATGATTTCTGAGAAACAGTGTAAAGACTGATGTTATACACAGGATGTAACGTATAAATATAAAACATATTATTCACAGCGAATCATACTTTAAATTATTAGCTGATCTGGAAAGAACATATTCTAATAATCATTAACATTTTCTCTTAATAGCACAAATATTACTTACGGACAGGTAAGGTCTGAAAGATCTCAATTTTGCTATACTCTCCTTGCCCTTTTCCATTTACAGCAGCTACCTTGATTTCATATGTTGTATTTGGTTCCAAATTGCTGAGAATAACCATTGCTAAATGAAAGGAAAGAAAAAATATGGGAACAAAATTTGATGAGAAAAAGAAGTCAGGCAATTTCAATATTTGCTTCACTTGCAACTTACTAGTCCTGTTGCCTAATAGTCCAGTGGTTCCAAACTCAGTCAAGTGCTAAGCTTTTTTTTCATCAGAATAAAAACGTTGTTGTGACTGAGCAAGTTATGCTTCTGAAGGAGTGTAATGTCAGTGGCAGAGAAGGCATAGGCAACAATTAAGGACCTTGATGGGGATTGATATTATATGTTCAGATTATGAGCACAGGAAAAATGAATTTGGCAAAAAAATATGCAAGTTTCCTTTCTCCTAGCTGCTAGTGGACATTTGATGAATGTTCAAGCCCCCTTCATACAGTTCATAACTTGTAATTTTTTTTCTCCTAGAGAGCAGTATCAATCATCCTTGGTTTATACCTCTAGATGCAGCTACATGCACATTAATGGTGAAATACTGGTGTGATCCTCTGCCAGTTCAACAATGTATTCAAGACCTAAAACGGCTATGGTGATCAAAGGAAGAGTTCTGAATTATCTACTAAGGATCTGAAAAAGTGAATTATGCATGTTTACACACTAAAATGCATGTTTTTACTCACTAAAAAGAATATTGTACAGCACTAAGAATATTGTTGCTGTATACCATGCAGCATGATATCTAGAAACAAAATCCAGGAAAAGGTTGTTGGGTTTCAGGATCCCTTATGGGAATTATGCAGTATTACACATTACCATAGTACTGTATCTTACTAGTATTGACGAATATGCACTTGGAAACTTCTCTCCATGCAGAGTTCTTGGACCATTACCCCGCCTTTACAAGAAAGCTTCCTTTTATTGTCCCCACAGCAATTGCCTGCTTGTTGTTTGCCAGCTCTGTGATGAGTTCTCCAGATGTCAGATTCATACCGAGGAACAGACATAAATTGAATGGACTTGACTTGAAGCACATCAGTATTTGACTTGCCCAGAAAAGCAGGGGGTGTATTATCTTACAAGAGGATATAGAATTATAATGTCTTGAGGAAGAGCCAGTAGTCTCCTTCTCATTCTCTGGGGAGCCTAGCTTTTTTTCATTACAGAGGAATATTTTGATAGTTGCTTTAGGCTTGCTTTCAAGTTACATATTTAATGAAAGTAAAATTATTTCTGTCAGAACTCTTTGTTATTCTTTTTAGTCCAGATTTATTAGAATTCCTATTCCTTTAGTTTCTGCAGGAGACAGACAGAATTGCCATTACATGCAGAGCCAAAGGGATTTAAATAATTTTGGAAAAACAGTAACTTTTACATTTCACACTCTATTATGAGCACTTTGCATAAATTTGCCTTTGAAACATGATAACTGTTTTCTTCTAAACAAAATAGCAGAATCATGTGTCCTCCAGCACAGTTTAGCTTTATCATTTTCATGAGACTTAAAAATATCAAACTACAAAGTATAACCATGTCATGAAAAAATAAAGTACCACCCTGAGAATAAGAATAGAATTTGGAGAAGGATTATGATATATAACATTCAGTTATGGTATGATGAAATTCCAAAACTAAACCAAGCAGTAGCAGTGTTTGACTTGCCTTTCAGATATGATTACTTTCCAAGGCTGAATAATTTCACTGAAAATAAACCTTAGGGCATACTAAAAATTAGTGTTAATGTAAATGTTTTTAAAATTTAAACAACATAAAAGCATGACTATGAGTCTACACTTAATAAAACGTGAATGTGTTTACATAAAACTAAGGATCTGATACTATAAACACTCGAGTGACTCCTGGGGCCTATCTAAATGAGCAAAATTACTCATATATGAACTATTTAAAAAATCAGTGCCTACATTAGAATCCCCCATGCACCACTATGTGTCCAGATACAATGACTGTCACAAATACATTTATGGAATTAACCCAACTAAATCTGATAGCATAACACATCCTCAAAAACTCAAACTTCTTGGTATCAGTGATGGTATAATGTGGACATATTTTATACATAGAAGAAAAAATAAAATACAATTATATCCTCCTGGAAAACAAAGAAAAGAGTCATTCACGATCAGAACACTTTAAATGCTTCAGTTGTAACAGAATATTTAGAATACTCAAGTAAGATGAAGGAACTGTCCCACAGTATGTAACAGAAATATAAGGCATAAAAGTAATCTAAGAGCAGTGAAACTTTCACTTCTAAGTGGTTTACATTTCTGAAATATATTGAGAATGGAAGAAAATAATAAATTAGCTGACTTTGTTTGTTTTTTTTTACGGTACCTATCTGTCATTTAAATATTAATTCAACTTATTAATCTTTCCATATACAAACAAAATCCCTCTTACAGGAGTCCATAGCCTTCAGCGAAATGGATATTTTGATTACAGTTTTCAATGGTCACTGAAGTAATTAGCTATAAAATTTCAAATAATATTCTGAAAGAAATACAGGACTTCCAGAATATGAATGTGAAAAAGTTGGTCAACTGTACACTGTATGTGTGAATTACACCGTTGGTTTATTCATTAGCATGTATCAAGTCCCAAATATACTAAAATTCCTTTATTTCTTTAATATGATGTGAAATTTTTCAGTCTTTTTCTACCTGTCCTATCTATCTGTTTGCATTTTTGTATTGTCTTCCTAATTACAGTATCCACATGCTTTATCTGAAGGACTCAGTGTTGTAGAATAATTGATGCGGGGATTATTCACATAGTTACTGGTTACATTGAGGAGCAGACTTCAAAGAACTACTCCAAAGATGGAAAAACAGAGGATTCTCCTGTGAACTCTGATGGTAATGCTGAGCTCAATTAACATCATGCACAACGTCATAACCAAGAAGTTACTAGTAATTTTGGGGTTTTGTTTAATTAACTGCGTAGAGTTGTTAAAACAAAATACTTCTTTTTGACAGGGTATGCAAAGAATACTGGTTTTTGTTGGTGTTTTATTACTTTTCTTTTTTTTTAATTTTGTAGACTGGAAATAAAAAAGAAACACAAAACCCAAAAAGAACTAAACCTTATCAAATACTAAAATTCAGTTTAATCTACTCTGAGGCTCAAATCCTAAAGTTTAAGCAGCATTAAAGTCTGTATCTTTTCTAATTTGCAAGTAAATCTAAAACATTAAAGGACAAACACAGTACAGAAAAAAAACACAAAAAAAATCATATATTAGACAGAATTTCAGTATATATTAGCAAAAATTCATACTATTTCAAATACAAAATGAAAGTATTTCAGCGAGAAAATTTTTCTTATTACAGGATTTTAAATGCTGTCAAGATGAACTATAGGAAAACAATATCTGACACAAGCTTTGTTTTGAAATAAACTGTACCATAAATCTGAGTCAGTAAGAACAAAATAAAAATGTCCAGCTGGTTTTCTGGTCCAGGGGTAGGTTGTTTATATTACTTTATTACAGTAGAATGAGAGGGGAAATGGCTGGCATATTAAATTGTCTTTTCACCAAAGGAAATCTACATCAAAAATCTTCTAAGGGCTGTGATATATTACATAAACCATCACCAAAGCAAAGAAGGTTAGGGGAACTAATAGTACAGTTACACTACATTAATCCCAAAGCTGCTCTTATATGAGGTTAATTAACAGAAATATCACATCAATACACTGTTCTCAGTGGAGAGCTATCTGTTGCACAGAACAATGTTCTTCCAAATTCAATCCCTTGAGGATGTCAGATCTAACTAAAGCAGGATATAAATTTATTTTGAAACAAAGTAGCTAAGACATATCATTGCTGAAATATCATCTTCACTCATACATATTTGAGGTAGTGGCAGTAGAGTGATATTTCCGTCAAAGAAGCATTACAAATTTTAGCACGGTGGTTTTTTTTCCCCTGTTTCTTTCCCTCCAGTCTGAATCTGTTCCACTTCGCAGACTGAAGGCAGAAAAAATACAGTGCAGGTTAACAGGTGAAGTATTTTGATTTAGCAGCGTTTTGCTGCATCTTTTCCTCATTATTTTACTACTTCCAAGTTAAAACTGACTCTCTTAGAAATCCTTCAGTCTTCTTCAGAGGAAAAAATGACTAGTGTTTTTACGAAGCTTAAACAGGTTTCTTTTTGTGATTATGACTCATTTCCTTTTAAGGACAGCAGAAAAAGACATGGTAAGAGAGCCATAACTAAACTATGGTAGTAGGACATGTGAGGAGAATTGTGAGGAACCTATGGTACTATAGCATTGAGTTTCTGTACAGAAGTCTCAGACACAATCTGAGGAGCTTCTCCCAAAACCTCTGTCTGCCTGAGATGAGTAACGCTGTTTTGTTTAGTCTGTGTATTTACATAGTAGGAGGAAGGGCATAAAAACTCCTTCTCTAGCTGAGCCTCACAGAGTGGCTCACAGAAGTGTTGATAAAATGAAGTTGGAAATTGCCACAGGAGGGAAAAAAAGAAAAAAAATGGAAAAGGATTCTGCTACAGAAAAGGCAAAATGTTTATTCATATGCGGAAATGGGCACACTGAGCTGTCTCAGTTCCATCTGTCTCCCTTGCCCAAATAACAATTAATTTCATAAATACTGGTTCAAACATCTGACTATAAATGTCAAAATTCAGCTAACACAAACAAATGAACTTTAATAACAGAAATATTTCAAGCTGCACATTATATGAAAAAAACGTAACGGTAGAAGATCCTACTGCCAGTGAAATCACTGGCAAAGCCTACGTCAATACATTCAGAGACAATATCAAGTCTTAAGTCATTCCCTCAAATTTATACACAGAAACTATTTAAAAAATCCGAGAAGATAGTTCGATCAGGAATTTCGGTCATTCTTTGCAGTGTAATGTATAATTATTACATTACCATTACTAATTGTATGTAGTACTTTTAGGCTATAGGCTTACAAAAGGTATTTGTACTTCCATTGATTAAATAGCTCATATAATCATGCTATTTTCTTCACACCTTTGTGTTGTATCAATTTGACAATAACATAGACTATT